TTTTTTCATGTTCCCTTATTGAGCTTGATGATTCCAGTAATTGGACACATGCATGCACCCTTGCTCATAAAGTCATACTTTTTCAAAATGACATAGCACACAAACATCTGATTCAATGATAATTGACATTTATATTCAAGGTCTTTGATGAAAGAAACGATAAAAAGGGCCCAGGAAAATCCTTTCAAACAATGTGGAAAATATTTATGTAGAAACTCTTCCCAGTCAGGTCACTATAATCACATATCAGCTGGCATAAAACATTAGAAGATTATTAGCTCAAGCACTGTGTCACACAATATAAAGGCTTCTCAGAAGATATAATCATGACAAGAGCTTAATGAAATGATTACTAGTGACAGCAATTCACAGTTTCAAGAGAATCTTGGCAACTGCAATTCATTTTCCCCGAGGACAGCTACAACTATATATTTTAACTTTCATTGCAGTAGCAATTTACTGGTGCTAGTGTGGTTGAAACAGTAACTGATAATCAACCCATCAAAAATTAGATGATAAAAAAAAAAACAAAAATTAAAGAAAAAAAAAAAAAAAAAAAAAATGCATGGATCTGGTCAATATGTCATTAGAGAAGAAGAAATTTCCTATTTGATGTACAAAATGGTGAAATAGATAAATGCAAAGTGGAATGAGCAATACGTCTCTAAAAGCAGAACTTCCTTAATAGCATGTTGCTGAATATGAGCATATAGTATGACGAAGCATGTATGTAGAAACACTTCAAAAGTTTCAATCATAATAATTAAACTATATGTTAAATTAGGAGGAAGAGGTGAAGGAAAAAGACACGATGCTCACCAACGGTGGAAAACTGCACTCGAGAACCAGGTACTCATTGCGGAAATTGCATATAAATGCCACATGCCAGTTTATTCGTAGTATGGCTTCTTATTCGGCCTAAAAGGGAGCTTATAATTTACAGGGGGGGAAAAGGATGGAATTGTGCAGAAAGATTAATAAGACAAAAGCCACAGAACCAGGTTCTTGATATCATCAAACTTTAACACGAATTATACAAAAAGGTTAATAACACAAAAGCCAGCGAACCAGGTGTAAGTATTATGCCCTAGGTCCAATCACCTTTGGACATAAATACTTTTGATATATAATTAATGCAATTTAATGGCAGATCTATTATTTAATTAATAGACAATTAAATAAATAATAGAGTCCGTAGATTCAAATCTTCGTAATTTGTTAATCACAAGGAGTTGTGATTGTAAGATACAAATTACATCTGATTGAATCTTAAATCGTCCGTGGTCGTAAGTAATAACGAAATACGGATATCGTTATTACGGATAGACCTTCACGTGTGACATTTCTTACTTGTGAAGTAAGTAGCTGATCTCACAAGCTAAAATGTGGTGACACTTAAATGACACGTGGATATTTTATTATAGAACAAAACATTAGAGACCCGCCGAGAGATTCCACATGGATAACTATCTGAGTGTCAGTGGTTAATCTTTAACGCTCGGTAGTGGAATTGGTCCTTTGATTTGAGGTCGTCATGGTACCTTATATGAGAACAGTCATATTTTGGCGGTGTTGGATGTTGCTCTGCAAAGGGCCGCTAATACGACATCGTTCGGGTACGTCAATCGTATGAAGGTTGTGATTGATCAATAAAGGATTCGTCACCCTTAGATAGTAGGAGATTATGATCTGCGTTTATTCAATTAAGTTGATGATGAAATCCTTGGTCAGGTGTACTCATAAGTCGAAAAAGAGTTTTCGACTTATATTGACTTAATAGTCGAGTGAAAGATATGATTGATGATCGAGATTGACACACTTCCATATCTCGTAATTGATCGGATCATATTGACGAAGGAATTATAGTTTCATGGTAAACGAACGTGTTTGGTTTTGTCACACCACATGACATTTCTCGTCACATGTATTGCCCTGACACATTGCTAGATGTCAATCAGGAATGACGAGTGTGGATTGACGATAAATTAAAATGTTGTTTTAATTTTTCAATTTTGATTAGATCAAAATAATATTTCACATTGTTAAGTATTGTGGTCGGGAACCTAATGGGTCGCACACAAAAGAGAATTGGAAGATTACAAATTGCCAATTGGTTAATTTAACAATCGTTGGATAAATTAATTAATTGGATTTGTTATTTATATTTTCGAATTAATTAATTGGATTAATTAATTCACGGACCGTATTTAATCAAATGGATTAATTAAATATTGGACCGGACCAGGCCGAGCCCGTTTGGGTTTATATAAATACATGGTTAGGGTTTGAGGTCCATATGATTTTCATTATTCTTGCTGGCACAAGAGGAAAAACCCTGGTAGCTGCAATCTTGTTCTCTGTGTGGATCACCGTTGGAGGCTGGACAATTGGACAGCTGTAGATGGCGAATCAGTATTGCAGGAACTAAAAGAAAAGCAAAAGGTTTGCAGAATTTTTCAAAGGTACAATCTTTATCACGATTTCTATTTAAACACAAAGGGATTCTCGGTGAGAATCGAAATAATTTTAATTTTCCGCTGTGCATGTATAAGTAGATTCCCAACACCAGGTTCTTGATATCATCAAACATTAACACGAATTATACAGAAAGACTAATAACACAAAAGTCATGGAACCGGGTTCCTGATAGCATCAAACATTAATACTTATCGATAAACTATTATTCTGCTGTATCAAAGTTCAATAAAAGAAGAAAACTGAAGCCTATGGAAAAGTATTAATGGCCATTCCTATGATATTTGTCAGGCTTGTGACCAGGTTTCCATCTATCTTCTTCCCTACAAACATGAAATGACAGCGATAATCACTGCGCAGTTCCATTACTTCTACTTTATATGGCTCTTGCAGATACCATGGGCCATCAATAGGGTGTATTTATCCCAAAAAATAAATAAATAAATAAATTGAAAAAGAAAAAGAAAATAGTGTGTTGAAAGCATTTGTTCCGCACACATCCAGCAGGACCAGCACATGGTTTCAAAAGGAAGGTAAGTCATGATAATGCAATCCCATTGGAATCCGCTCTGATCTTCCTCCACTCTGCCACTAAAGCCTTTCTGTAGGTTCTTCTTCAGAAACTCGGATGTTCTCGGGCCTCTGATGAACTGGCTCGGCTTAGGCTCGCCCCCCTTCCGGCACTATTCCTCTCCACTAAAAAGAGCTTGAGAATCTCGAGACCCTCTCTGAATGTCTGTTTTCAGGTTCACAGATAGTAAGTTAAAATTCTATCTAGTAACTAGGAAAAATACTCCTGAGCCTTTCTTCAGAAACTCAGACAACTTATTCTCTTCTATAATCTAAGGGATTATACACAGATGAATGAGACAACAGTCAAGTTGTTAACCATCAAAATTATTAAAATATAATACTAGCTAGTGGGAGTACACAGATTAGCATCACCACTCGCAAAGACCTATTCTGCAGGGTCTCACAAGGGAGAAGGATAAAGGTAAAACAAAATCCTTAAAATGAAGCTCTGCGCTGTTCTCAATCATAAGAAATGAACTCATAAGAAAATTGAAAACATCATATTATGTACACTTTTTCATGATTTTCAAGAAGGCAGAGCAAACACGCTTAAATTAGATTTGAAAAACATTATTGTCCATAATATATGGCTAGGAGATTTCATGCAAAAACATACTAACCTTTATATCGGTTGAAACATCGATGATCTCATGCCCTCAAATTACCTTTGCAACTGATATACAGTAAACATCTACATTCACAATCAGAACCTCCTTTGCAGGTTCTGTTGGCATTACCCTTTAAACTATCTTGCAGCTGCAAAATCAACTGCGGCAATTTCAGCATGCCAATGTATACTTTTCCACACACCACTTGAATGTATCCTTCTTGCTTGCAATTAGTTTAGGTCAGTTAGGGTGCAAAACTAACTCTTTTGCCCCAGTCTTCTACATCGATATCCCCTGAATTTCAAGATACCGGTACAACCATATCTATGACATGAAGAACTTTTCATTATAGACACTTCATATGATTCAATTGTATTGAGAAACTGGAACTTGTTTCTTGGAAAACCAAGAAATTTCACCATTTATTTCTACAGAACTCCAACCTAATGGTCTCTGCACATCAGTCTTATCTATCTGTTCTCTAAATTTTATAGCATCATCCCATCTCCCAACTCCAGCATAAGTACTGGATGAAAGTACATAATTTCCACCATTATTTGGATCCAATTCGAGAAGCTTGTTGGAAGCAATTTCAGCTAAATCCAGATTATTATGAAATCTACAAGCACTAAGTAACATCCTCCATAAAGCAACATCTGGAACAAGAGGCATATGCATTATGAACTCATATGCCTGAGGTAGATTGCCAGAGCGAGTTAAAAGATCGACCACACACCCATAATGCTTCATTTCTGGCATCAACCCGTAATCATTTTGCATACTATGGAAAAATTCCAATCCTTTATCCACCAAACCAGCATAAGCACAAGCTAGTAATATGCCAACAAAGGTTCCATGGGTTGGCCTTGCACCTTCTCTTAACATTTGAGAGAAAAGTTCAAGAGCATGATTAGAAATGCCATTTGCCGCAAGTCCAGAGATGATTGAAGTCCACGAGACAGAGTCCTTCTCTTCCATTTCATGAAAAACCTCCAAAGCATTTTCAACTGATCCACATTTGCAATACATATCCATCAGAGCATTTCCAACATAGATATCTGATTTTACACCATGATCGCGAATAAAATTATGCACCACAGTGCCCATGTCAAGCATGCCTAAATGTGCACAGGCAGAAAGCACGCTAGCAACTGTAATTTCATCAGGCTTAACCTTCGCCACCATCATATCCTCGAAAAGACTAATAGCATCTTTATATTGGGCAGCTTGAGCATAGCCTGTGATCATGGAAGTCCATGAAATCACATCCTTCCTTGGCATCTCATCAAAAAGTAACCTTGCTGCAACACAGTAACCTGCTTTTGCATACCCCATAATCATGGCATTCCAAGAAACAACATTCCTCTCCACCATCCTATCAAAAATTTGTCGAGCCAACTCAATCAAGCCACGCTTTCCATACATATCAATCAATGTATTCCCCAGGTACACATCAATCTTAACATGGTTTTCCTCAATGTACCTAACCATAGCATCCGCAGTCTTCCACTCACCCAAATAACTACAAGCTAATAAAACTTTCACCATAGTCACTGCATCAGCCTTAACATTCACCTGCCTCATTGCATTGAAAAGTCTTAAAACCTCCTTGTATCTCTTGCACTGACTATACCCACAAATCAATGAGTTCCACGAAACTAAGTCTTTATCTTTCATTTCATCAAACACTTTTCCTGAAGACCCCAAATCACCACAAGAAGCATACATATGTATTAAAGAATTACACACAAAAAGATACGCTCCGAACCCAAGTTTAATAACATGAGCATGAACTCTTCTTCCATATAAAATATTTAAAACTTTAGCACAAGCTTTAAACACAAATATAAACGAGGTATTATCTCCATGTAGTCCACTTTCACGCATTTCATCAAACATTTGGAGTGCAGTAACAGGCTGAACACTCTTGGATAATCCACGGATCATGTAGTTCCAAACGGGCAATGTGGGCTGTACTATTTGATTGAAAATGAAATGGGCTTTGTGTAATGAGGTTTGAGATAGAGCGTATGCTTTGATTATTTGTGACATTTTATATCGGTCAGTGTGCTGGTAAATTCTGATGTAATGTGCATGATGCTCTTTAATGGGGTCTTTGAGGATTGCATAGTTGGTTACTCGCTCTGGTTTTAGGGTCGTAGAGGACGTGAGAAAGCGGCGTGAAATGGGTCGAGCGAGTTTCATGAGCGTTTAATGTTTTTTGTGGAGGGAAATTTGTAGGGAACTGCCAATTGTAAACCAAAACAAACAACGTAAGAAACAAATAACCTGAAAATGGACTTTGACCAACCTCAAAGTCAATAGAAATTCAAGGATAGTTGTAAAGAATAAAGATTGTCTAATAATGTAAATTTTCTTGACAGTTGTAAGTAGTAAAATCTAACATATTGTGATTAGCGATGGTGAACATCAGTTTAGATACCCGTTGATCATATTATTAAATAGTCTATAATTTCTTGTATCTAATTGAATTTCTAATTTAATGTTACTAGTGTTGCCACCTAAATTGATATTAAACACCAATAGTGTTAATTAGTATTACTCTTTTAGTACATGTTAATTGTTATGTAGATCATATACAAAGAAAGGTATTAACATGCGTTCCCTAAGAAAATTTACGTAGTATAAGAATGCTTCTTTAATCCATGATATTCTATAATGTACTAGTATTTACAATTTTTTTAACATATAATATTTAATTTCATACTTTAATCCTAAGTCAAAGAATCGAAAAACTCAACACAACTTATAGTGGATCTTCTTTTCGCACTATCACTAATTAAAAAAAATGGTCAAAATTGAATTCAATTGTCAACATCCCCATTACATATAGGACTAACTAGTGATTTCAAAGGAATTGGTGTTAATCACTTTTGTGGAGTTTTTATTCGTTTCTAGATTTTCATGAGGTCTAATTAAAGATTTATTCAGTTATTTAGATAATTTATATAGATGATAAGAAAGATCCATGACCCAGATTGGTGACCTATATTGGACTTCAATAAGGGCGCTATCTTAATGTTGATAAAATTGTTGAAGTTGTGTTCACAAGACAACCATGGAATGAATAGAAATAAAAATAATTTTTTTGATTAAACGTTGTTCGATTAATCACACATTTCATGGAATCCACTACTTTTATCAATTTTTCAAATACATAATTCATTAATTTTTATCAAAATTTATTAAAAATTTGATTTTTTATCTTAACCAAACCGGGCTAAGACGTGTTTTGCTTGCTTCGGTTTTTTTGGACCATAATAGGTACCACCAATTGATGCTTGCCCTATAGAGAGAAATAAGAAAACTTTTATAGAGATTGAACAAGTTAGGCCATCTTGTACTGCGTTTCTCTTAGCACGCGAAGAGGCAAACTCCAAATTCCTTCAAACAACCACATGGCCCCGTATGCTAGACCGAGGCTACAACTCTCTTCCCAAAGTTTAGACAGACTTGGTATATTGAAGTTTACTCGATTGAAATATGATTTCTGACTATGTATAAACTATAAAAAACAAGAATAACTATATTCTGCGTTTATTTCCCTAATCTTCATATCAAGCAATAATTTTCTTTTTATTCGATAGGTTTGATCTAAAGTAACTTCTGTTACGCCTCGATATCGAAGTATCATCTCACCACTGAGCAACGAGATCAAGTAGACCCCACGCAACACCATTTACTCCGACCCTCCCGAAGCTTCTTCGAAGTGATATATCGATTCCTACTACTGATCTGCCGAAGCGATCGGGATCAAGTGGACCCCGGTTAGAAGATCCGCCGCCAATTTAAGATTTGTCCTGCATCTAAAGTTTAAATTGATTTGACGTCCCCATGAGGCTATTTGATGTGATTTATCAACTTTATGTCAATTCAACTCGGGGGAAACAAACTGTCCGCCCACTCTACAAGCGCGGCTGATTGACGCCTATGAGCAGACGCTTCATACCGTCAGATGTATACACGTGTTCCACATCCCACGGTTCATACCACCTATAAATACCCAAGGTTTGGCAAGAGGCAAAGGTAATGAAACTCTCAATACACAGCATTCCATAACTAACAAGTTTATATATTCTCCCCCCCTTTATTGATTGATTTGTGTAATCCCTGGGCACTGTTCCGACCACCCAAACCTGACTTGACCGTCGAAGTGTAGACGACCGTCACCACCCCCGTCGGTTCCGACCGTGTGCGCCTGACCATTTGTTTATTTCGCAGGGAGGAATACGTGGAGTAGCTATAAGTTGGCCACGTGGAGGAGCCATTTTTGGAGGTCAACAGTTTGGCGCCGTCTGTGGGAAGCTCATTCCCCATTTGAAGTTTTGCATTCCCCATCGGAGAAGACACCGGAAAACCGGCGATTGACCCTGAAAAGGGGGCATTCTTGAAAAAGAATTAAGTCGAATTACAATCCAAGTTCTTACTACCCTTGAAAAAAGAGGTAGGATGAGCTACAGCCGTGAAGACAATCCCATGAGAGAGGCCTCTGAAGAAGAGGTACTCCATAACAATGTTACTCATCAGAGACCGCATCACCGGCGTCGACGAGGCGAAAGAACAGCCATACTCACTGAAGGAATGGCCCAGATAGCAGCGGGTATGAGAGACATAGCAGCTCAGAATATGGCGATGCGAGAACATCTCATGCAAGCCCAGGGACACCAGAGGCCCCAAGGATCTTATCCGGTACAGGAAATCCCTTTGTCTCACTCTCGAGGCCACATGAGCCGGCACACAGAACGTCCTCTCGAAAGAGAGGGGAACACCGAAGCGACATCTTATGTACAGGAGAGTCATCCATCAAAACCACTCTTGGGGGACAACTTTCCTCAAGAACACGATGACCAGAGGTCAGTGAGCGTCTTTGACCGGATAGGAAACGATCCTAGCAATAGGGTCCACCCAACAAGAGGGTCGGTCCGGTCAGACCACGAAGAAGAGCATGTTCCCCCTCCTCCTAGAAATATGAGGGAGAGGAGAAACTTAGTCGATTGGGGGAGCCGGGGAAAATCACCTCCTCCACCCCAAGACATCCAAGATGATGAACGATCAGAGGGGCCCTGTCGATCTTATGAGATTGACGACGATGACGATAACCACCCTTTCTCAAGGAAAATTCGAAGCTTCCCAATACCAACTAACTTCATGCCCCCTAAGATCCCCAAGTATGAGGGAAAAGGGGATCCGGAGAAGCACCTCACAAAGTATATGACACAAATGAGTCTTAGGGGAGCTTCACCTGCTCTAAAGTGCAGAGCCTTCCATTTAACACTAGGCGGAGCCGTCGAGGTGTGGTACAGCAGGCTTCCTCCCCTAAGCATCAGAAGTTAGCCAGACTTGAAGAAAGCATTTTTGAACCAGTACCTCTCACGCAGGGAAGGAGAGGCGCCAATCCAACGCCTTCAAGACATGAGGCAGGCCCCTGGAGAGACGCTGAAAAGCTATCTTGCCAGGTTTACAGACGAAATTACTTACTGCGAGCAGGTCACTGACAGGGAAGCCCTTTCAGCCCTGAAAGGTGGTCTCAACATGAACACTTTGTTTTGGAGGAACGTGCGCAGCAAAAATCCCTCCACATACGACGAGCTGGTGGAGATGATGAGGGTGGAAATTGTTAGTGAAGAAATGATTGATCATCGCAACCGTGCCGCGCAGGGACTCCCTCCCCCATAGAGGCAGGTAGGTCGAGACCCCGCAGTGCACCTTATTACTCAACAATGGACCCAAGCAGGGCATACCATAGCTCCCACATCTGGACAGGCCCTAGCTTCCGCCACGTTGAACGCAGTGCCGGTGTTGGCATATGATAATGCACCCGCTGAGGCAGGACCATCTGGAAGAACTGACAACAACAAGAAGAAGAAAAAGAGGCCAAACAGGCCCTTGCCAGGAGCAAGATTTTGTACTTTCCATCAACTATACGGGCATGACACTAGCGAGTGTCGGGATGCCGATCGGCGCCCTGATCGAAGCAACCCCCACACTTCCAGCAGAAACGAGCACCCCCGCAGATGCACTTCCCCGAGGAGGGGAGGAAGAGGTCACCAGGAACAATCTCCTCGCAAAAGAGAATCGAGAAACCGAGGCCAATCCAGGCAAGAGAACCAAGCCCAATTCGCTGGAAGCCAGGTCATCAGGGAAATCGATATCATCATTGGGGGACCCCACGTCAGTGGCAACACCAGGAATGCCCAGAGAAATTATACAAGAGAAGCTAAGGATCCCCCGATGATCACCTACATTGTCGACGAATCGAAATCAGCAAACAAGATGGCCCCAATCACCTTCTCCCAGGAAGACTCAGAGGGAGTGCACCATCCCCATTGCGACGCTTTGGTTGTAAGAGCCGTAGTGGCTAGAAACGGATTAAAATGCATGCTCTTTGACAATGGCAGTTTCGTGAACATATTGTTCGGCTCCACTTTTGACAAAATGCAAATTGAACATGGGTTAATCCCCATGACCGACCTACTGTTCGGATTCACTGGGGACAGCATCATCCCACAAGGGCGGATTACTCTGCCTGTGGAAATGGGTTCGGCCCCCCTGGTCGCCCAGCATTTCATGGAATTTCTGGTGGTAGATCATAGGTCGGCTTATCATGGAGTATTGGGCAGACCTGCTCTAAAAGATCTTTGGGCTATGACGTCCATTTACTATCTGTGCATGAAATTCCCAACTGAACATGGGATTGCAACGGTCCGGGGCGATCAGATGGGCTTCAGGGCATGCTACCTAAACTCGCTACGTAAATCTGAGCCCCGAACTGTCAATGTAATTCTAGCCGAAGTACCCGCTGTAGCCAGTACGGACGTGGAAATGCTTGACGCCCCTGAACAAGGGCATACCTCAGAACAAGAGGAGGATGTCATCATGGAAGAGGCCCCTGAACAAGGACACGCTCTTGATGAGTTAGACCCCCGAATAATCGATTATGAACCAAATGCGACCCCAATGGAAGAACTGGAAACTTTCCCGGTCAATCCAGAAGACCCCAACCAAGTCTTGCGCATAGGGAAGTCATTATCGCCTGAGGCAAAAATTGAGATGATACGATTACTGAAAGAAAACCTGGATGTCTTCACATGGAAACATGAAGATATGGTGGGAATAGATCCTAGGATCAGTTGCCATCACCTTAACATCAACCCCTCCTATGCCCCCCATAGACAGAAGAGGCGCGCCCTGAACCCGGAACGGTACGAGGTGCTGAAAGACGAAGTAAGTAAACTTAGCCGCAGTGGTTTCATCAGAGAGGCCATATATCCGAGGTGG